TATCTTACAGTTTCTGTTGGTTCAAGTTGCGATCGGTTCCGCAACGCAATCTCAACTAAGTCACAGGATCATTTAAGAAAAACATTGTCCAATCATTTTCTACTCCTGATAGTGTAGTTTTCCTGTTGTTGAATGTTTCTTTTGTATTGTACTGTGATTGCATTTAACTATCCTGTTAGCCCTTGCTTCAAAGGTGTACCTTGAATGAGAGAGAGAGAGAGGGATCGGAACACCCAAGCTAGAACCACGTCTAAGACGGTCTTGTTGGTTGTTGTAAAATCGAATAGAATAGACAGGGGCTAAAAGTAAACAACTTGATCTGTCCACACTCCTCCGTGACGCTAGATGAGAGTGAAAGCATCACTCTTGAGGTTACTTGTTTCCTTCTCAAACAGTTTTCATCCCTACTAATTGGATGGGTCTTTCGAACGCCGGGTGCAATTCAATCCACTCTTGATGGTTATTACCGGTCTCTGATTTCACGAGCGGATTACTGCTTACACTTTCAAAAATGCTCCCTCTGTTGAGAAGTATGTTTCGTGTTTGACAACAGAATGAAATTATACCAAACGGACAACCATTTGTTGTAGACAATGAATTTCCCGGAGGACGTTGTGGAAGCATCGGTACTCACTCTTAACTTCAGTTTCGATTTGTACTACCATTAACCATGCACTATCGTGCGCCGGTTTTTGTTGCTATCTTTCGGTTACCCATTGTGATAAAGCGGTAGGAGAAAGACAGGAAAGTTGAAAGTAGCGTCGAACAGACAATGGAGAATTTCAGTGCATTAATGTTGCAAAGAAATTGAGAACATGCATGAACGTCATTGTTTACGATACCCAGCCAGATTACTCAGTGTATCTAGCCATTGATTACACTGATCCCCTAGGTTCCCAGCCAGGAAGCCTGACGCGATCTATGTGACCTAGTCTCCTGGTTAGGGTTCTCATGGAAACTCGGTCTCTCTCTCAACTGGTTGTTACCAAGTTGATCTGTTCCCTTGTGAACAGCAGTTATACAACATATATTCAGTCATGCTTGTGAACATTCCTCTCACCACGTGTTCAATATAGCGAGCACTATCAATGCATGTGAATCAACTGCTTTGGATAAACCAGCCAGGCATTCACAACGAAAATGAGTATGTGAAGCTCAACAAGGAGAGCATTTGATGACTGTTTGGTTCTTTGTGGAACCGGTACTTGAACCGCGAACTCTTACCCATGTGCCACGATATGGCACACAGTCCACAACTGAAGCGAGGGGCCACATGAATAAAGAATGTTTTGTTCAGGTGAGACAATTCATAGGCACAGCCTATGTGTGGCCTTATTAACCAAACCACAGATACACGCACTACTGACGAGTCGCAAAAAAGACGACCCGGCTGTTCCGTGCTCCTAATTGGCTTTCACCTGATAATTTCCATCGAAAATGAAATGCATTTCTCCCGGAAGTACTAAAACCCGCAGCTCTATGCGCACTGATTCGAATTGTTGCCGGTGCTTACTCGCTCATTTCGATCAGTAAATGGGGTAATGAGAAAGCAGCTGATCAATACAGAAGAGTTGCACAAATACAGTCACTTTCACAGGAACTTCATTAACAACAACCTGCAATATAAATAGAGATGCTTAGTATAATATATCGAAGAAAATTTCGCATTTCCATGTCGAAAAGTAGTTACTTAATGACAGGTTTGGTTTATTGCTATCATCTTTCATTAGACATGAGGGGAGTAACACATTTTGGCGATCCACTTTGTATTCCTATCTACAGCTGCATGTGAGCAATAAGAATACTCTGGTAGCCAAACTGATCTGTTTCTTACCCGGGTTTGTTGAAACAGCATGAAATAGCAGTTGTTTTTTTGCTTCGATGACTTGTTCAGATGCGTCACTTTTCCTCTGCCTCTGTCTTGTTTATAGAATCACTTTAGTTCATTTTGACTGTTCTTGGTCTTTATCTTTTTTTAAAATTTTCCCGTCTAGGCTGAAATTTGATTAGGAATATCTTTGAACTTCGGGAACTTTCTTGTCTTCTCTCTCTTTGCTGAACAGACAGAACCACCATTGAATCCGCCGGAAAATCGGGAGTACACAGCCGAGATCATGTTTGAGACATTCAATGTCCCAGGTCTATACATAGCTGTTCAGGTAAGAATGTTTTTTAGTTCCTCGGTGTTTATGAATTCATTCTGTAATACCAAAATGGGGCTAGCTGGTCTGGTGTTGGCTGAAACCGGTAACCTACTGGCGAATTGCATCAGCTGCAACAGATTTGCTTCGATCCAACTGAGCTGTGGATGATGATGTTGGAGCACGCATACTGACAAACCGATGCGCTAGTGGTGGCAATTGGAGGCAGTCAACTACAGTTTCTCTCTGATTGTTGTTGTATGGGAAGTTGATCAGACCGGAATTCAACACAGTGATATCTTAGTGATGATATTGTGTTCGGTTTAGACGTACGATTGACATAATGGACTCGCGGAGAGAGAGAACAGCTGGAGTCAAAGTCAGCGGCTAGATGTCGATACTCAAATATATAGAACAAATAGCGCATACGAGAACGGCGCAGTGATGCACCAATCAATCAGATTGCATCCATGACATATCGATTGATCAATTGGACAAAATTTAACTGATACGTTCTAATCGGGCTCAGCTTGTCTGGAGCGTTGCGAGCTTGCGTGTGGCCTGGCTCGGAGGCGTGCGCGATCGGACGGGTTGCTTGAGCTCCGTCCTAACAGTTAACTGCGATTTCTCCTATCTGAGAAGTTGATCAGACCGGAATTCAGCAGAGTGATACCTTAGTGGTGATATCTGCGAAAATGATAAAATGAGATGAATGAAGAGAGTGAAAAAGTGCACAAACGGCATCGGACACTTTACGTAGTCCTCCGAACCTGAAGCAGCGGATGGGTAATGGAGAGGTTTTTCGTCGTGTATCACTTTCTGCAGACTCCGTCCGATAGCTCAAACATTTTTTTCATATTTCTTTCTGTTTCCACCACACCGTTCATAAATCTCATTCGTCTAACTGTAAGCCGATTTCCAACTCCCTAACACAACCCATGAGCACCGATGTCACGTTTTTTCGATCCCAACGACCTTTCAAAATAGCTGCTGATAATGTACGAACGATTATGCGTATCGGTCAATAAGCGCGACTTATCATGACACTTGAAACACTGGACATGGACATTTACCGTCTCTGTGAAACCCGAATTCAGGACGGAAACTCTGAAATAGCAGCAATTGGTATATCCGGTGTTAGATCGTAATCGCCTCATCCCCACTAACTTTCGGCTTTACCAAACGCGCACCGCCACCTGGCGATCTCCATCAACAATCTAGCATTAGACCCAAATCGATCACATTGCAGTCATTCGCCAATGGAGGGAGGTATGTACCAGACTTGAGGTCCCATTAGAGCATCAGTTATGTTTTTATATTGCACACAAGCCTGAATCCAGACTGTGTGCCAGACCAATCACAATACAATAATCTTTATAGAATGGAAAAGTACCTTGATTCGTTTGTGGGTCAGATACTGCCAGGTTGCTCAGGTAAAAGCAGGTGAATCTTGGATAATTCACAACCGGAACCGTCGGCTGGCCAAAGTCTGATTCGCGAAGCAGCAAGGCGGTATATGAAAACTGCAATCCATTAGAGGCCGGTGTCCAATACATTGGATCATACGCCCAATTTAAGCGGTGACCAGTGACACAATCCGGAAGATATATATATATATATATATATGTGTGTGTGTGTGTGTGTGGTTCGTATACCTCTTTTTGGTTTGTTTGGAATCAGGGTTTCTAGCCAACTCTCCGAGGTGAACTACCAGTGGTTCACCGACCCGGTTATAGTCCCGGATGTCGGCTTTTCGTCCTCTCCATTTGATGGGAAAAACCTCCCCCACGAAAAGGCAGTGAGTAGAGCTTCCTCATCAGAGGCTGTTTGAGACGCTTGGTCGTATAGGAGCATTTCTTGAAGTGCAAGGGAAGGGTGACTAGCCGCAACCCAACTCACCCATCCCAGACTATGCTGAGGTTTTCGGAGATGGAAGCATCATCGGTGGCGCTGATCGCGCATCAGTGCGCTCCCAGGTTGTAATACATCCGAAAAAGAACATGTGCACGGAAATCGCAAGCTATCTCAACAGAATGGGCTAGTCAAACATCCGAACTCGGTATCGACCCAACTTTCTCCTACTCCGCCTAGTGATACCGTACATCGAGCAGAGCACTTTGTGCAACTGGTCGGAAGAAAATTATGGGTTCATCCGAATCGCCAACATCCCTCGAATTCGCTCGTGCTGTCCTGACCTCTCCCGTCGGTCTTATTCACTCTAGCGGTCTCATGTTTTTTGGCGTCTTTTTTTGGTTCCCCACTTAAAGTCTCACCGGTTTCTATACCTAAACATTTGCTCTTTGTGGCTATGAGATCCACATCTAATGCCGCGTTTGTTTCTTTTAGGCCGTACTGGCACTAGCTGCCCCATGGTCCAGTTGTTCGAAAGAAGAACGTGTACTTACCGGGACCGTTGTTGATTCCGGCGATGGAGTAACTCACGTGATACCGGTTGTTGAAGGCTATGTCGTGGGTTCCTGTATCAAACATATCCCCATCGCTGGCCGAGATATTACCACATTTATCCAGTACTTGCTTCGTGAACGGGAGACTAACATTCCGCCGGAAATGAGCATGGAAGTGGCCAAGCAGATCAAAGAACGGTAGGTTGATGATTTATTATTGGTTCGTATTTTTTTCATCGTCTATACTGTACTGCCATTCAGTATGAAAACTGCTGGAGAAAAACTAACATTTTACGACCCGTCATCGTACCGCTGATTCGGTTTCTGTTTCATGGCAAGCTTCTCTACCAGGAAGTTTGATGTGACTAAATCCTTGTCAGTTTTTACACATCCTCTTGCCAGACCGTGTTCTGATTGCTTTCTACTTGCCTTGCAATTCAACATACACCGAAACAACCCGTCCGGTAACATGCGTGGCACCGGTCGGTTTCAACCAACGCGGTCCATGGCTGTCAATCTCTTGCGAAAGTGCGCGACAGTGTTGGCCTAATGTTTTGCACCTCGCCTTGTCTGACTGTCCCGTCGAACTCGTCTGGTGCGGCATAGACAACTGGTTCGGTTCTTATGGTGATCACTGATCACGTACCCAAGACCAATTTGTTATCGGGTTATCAGTCGTTCTCTTCATTCTCGTTTGCAATTCGGTGGCTGGAGCTTGCTTTTCGTAAGTGTCACAATAGGCATCTGATGCTTGAAGACCAGCTGCTACATGTTCATTTACAGTATTTGTCACGGGCTTTTGATCGAAAAAAATGTACGTGAGACTTCGCGAATGAGTTCATGGGAATACAGCACAGTATTGCATTCCCCGTGCCGGTCAGAATTTTCCTTCGAAAAACAATAGTCGTCTAATTCTTCCGACTAGGAGAGGGCGAAAGGATGATTCCTGGTTAGGGTAGTGTTGACACACGTCTTTTTTAGCTCACTTTTTTGACAGCGTCATTTTGTTAATACTTTGCAAAAAGACTTAATGACAATCATTTAATTGGGAAAGCTGTGGCGCCGTCGCGACATCCGGCTGTATGTGAAGGGTCGATTTTTTACTGAAGCAGTAAGCCAAGTTCTGCTTTACGAAGTACAGTCTTGGCCATTACGGGAATAGGATACAAATACATTTTCGGTGTTCGAACACCGCTGTCTACGCAACATTGCTTGAGTCTGGTGAGAAAACCAGCAATGCTGAGGTTAGGCGTAGAGTTTTGAGTAATCGCGGTTGTCCAATGGAGCAAAAGTGGTCGACCTTCATAGATTACGCTGGTTAGGACATGTGTTACGCATGTCACCAGATAGGTTGCCACGGCGAGCGATGTTTACCGAGGCAGGTAGGTTGGAAAAAGATAAAGCGCTCTCAAACTAAGACCTGGAATTCTCTATCTTCATCACTTTCACTCTGCTCCCAACATTCCAATTTCTATTCTGCTCTCTAATCCAAATCTGTGACCAAAAGACAGCAACCAAACCAAAACTGACGAATGAAAATGTATGATTAATGGTTGTGCCGAAATGAAACCACCATTGAGAGTAACATCGATAAAGAAAGCCGAACAACTTTTCCAAGTTTTGGCCCATAGTGTTTAATCTCACCAAACAATTAATCTCAGGGAATAGTTTTCACAGCTGTCAGCATCGAAAAGGTGGCCCCCGTAAAGATGCGCAGTTAGGTGTGGAGACTGATCTCACTGTGTGATCACGAAAATCTATGGAACGGTAGGAAAGCTTTTGCTGTGGCGTTGTTCATTCGTGACTGAATTACCTCTTCGGTCAAACTGTTTGGTGGTATCAGGGATTTGGGGTATTTACAAGCTTTCAGTACATCTATTAGTTCTTCCGTGATCCCTCATTTGGTCAAGCAGATGATTTTTGCCACGGTTGAAAATCTTTCCAATTCTGTTGTATTGATTTTCATTACGATTTGTTTGGAACAGATGTTAATGCGATTAAGCATAGAGTGCAGATCCGAGTATGGGGATTTTATTTGTGGTTTCGAGGTCTCCAATCCACGCTTCATGACTGAATACACTCACGGAATTAGTGAGCGATACAGTACCACACTCATGACTTGTTTGTTTTTACCGGACCCGCTTTATTCAGTAGACAATCCCCAGTACAGTACAGTACAATCCCCAGGAGGGGTGAATCGTCCAGTCAAAGGGCTATCATATAACACACCTAAAATGGGGAAAGTCATTTTTTTATAACACACCTAAGTGTGATGAATAGCAGACGGGGTAAACTGCATAGTCACGAGGATCTGCTGTTCACTGGTGGAAACCGGCAACCTAAGCTCCGGGACTTGGAGTGGCGAACCACATAAGGCCCCGCTAGTTTAGGCGTGGTATTGAACTAGACGACAGCGAAACTGCCTACCACAAAAGTTGGGTGGCAGTGGTATGACTCCAACCTCGGACCGTATGCTCCAATACACGCCGGCGACAGCGACTTAATCACTGGTTATGGGATTCGAACACACATAGTCCAGGTGTTGATTTAGTCGAGCAAGTTCCGAGACTACAGGCAGCTTCGCCAGCTTAAAGACCTGAAGTGAATTCTCTCCGATATTTCCGGGGACTCGCACCTGAGGGCCAGATTATCACGAGTTCAGGAATTTTACAAACTTCTGCAGTATCCTGTTATGGCTAGAACGATGCTTTAATTGAATATTTGTTCACCTCATCTTCCACTACACACTTCTTGGTTCGCACGGGAGTGATTAATGGAAATCTGGTGATTATCATGCGCAGACTGAAAAACGGTGCGTATCAGTAGCTGACTCAGATAATGCATGTGCTCCAGCTTCTCAGTCGACCACACCGGATAGCCTCGATCGAGAAAGACGATATCATGTAAATTATCGATCGTTCCTTTAAGGTACTTCTTTCCCAGCAGTTCTCTAAAATTGCGATTCACCCTCGTGGCGAGACGAGTTTGTGCACACGTGATACGCGTGTTGTTGGTGTGGTGCTTGTGGTGTGGATCCGAGTGACGGTCTTTGTAATAGACTAAACTCAGACTACGTACTGCATATACTAAGCCTCGAACTGATAGCATGATAGTAAGGTGATTCTGGTAGCAAGTGGCAGCAGGACCTAATATTTCATATGTCGAAGCTCTCAGCTTTGTTTATAGTATTCATGCATCGTGCATCCGTTTCCTCCTATAATAGTTAGATCAGTTCACTTTTTATAACCATAAACTATTCATTTTCATGCACCGGTTTTGGTTGCCATCTTTAAGCTACCCATTTGGATAAAAGAGTTGAGGGAACATAGGGATGTTGAGGGCAGAGTAAAAAAAGATAGAAGGTTCATATAGTCTAAGGTTACAGCGATGCTGAATAAATACACGAGAACCACTGTGACACTCAACCGGATCACTCATTTTCATTTTATTGAATGTATAATGATACCATATTCAGCAATGGGGAAGCGGCCAATCAAAGGGCTGCCATACAATACACACAATGGAGAAAGTCGCGCGCTGGTGGTGGCATTCGAGCACGTCTTTCGGGGTGACAATTTGCTGATATTGCCACTCCGTGTCTCTATCCATTGATTACAATGATCCTGAGGTCCCAATCCAAGGAGCCTAACGGAATCCTATATGCCCGAGTCTCCTAGTCAGGGATTTCATACCCTCGTGCCTTGTATTAGTTTGGTCGTCCATCTACTCCCGGCCACGGTAAATATCGCGTACCGTGGCAACCGGTTTAGTGATAGACGCGAATATCAATTAGTGGAAAATCTAGTAGCTATTTCCGTCCGCTTTTACGTGTCACCTTATGACGGTTTCGATCATCTGATGAGTCGCTCCATGTCATATAGACAATGCAATTTCAAATTCTTTTAACCCAAATTGCGACACAAAATGCATGTTCCACTTGGTAGTCCAGCTTTATGTCCCTATCACTCCAAACAAATCTTAGATAGAGAAAGAGTTCTTTGTTCTAAGTTTCAACTTGTCAACAAAATAAGAGGTTGAAAATGTTTTCGAAGCCATTTATTGTATCATTCGATTTCGATGGCACCATTTCTTGTCACCCACCCCCCTGCATGTCCCTCTTCTGGATGTCTTATCTTGTGCGATTCTTGATTTGTTATGTTCTCGTTCTGTTCGACTGCTGTCCACTGACCATGTCCTCGTGTGTCACTCATAGGTACCAATCACTTTAGCACACAACATGCAATCAGACCGGTAGTGTACCACCGCAGTCAGCGACTTGGACTTAGTCACCTGTAACCCAAACTGACTATTGATTCAAACAGATGTATTCAGCCTACGTGTTTCACAGAACCTCTTGGCAAGGTCATTGTAAACAGTCACTGTGTGCCATTATTGCGTGTCTTCTACTGTAACGATTATAATAAATCAGTCACCAATGGTGCGGATAACTGTAGATAAGTTTTCACTCCAACCACATCTCCTCTCGAATTGGAAGAGGCATCAACTGTTGGCGTGTGTGCGCATGTGCATATGTTCCGTGTTACGTCACCTCGTGATCCGGAATGGACAAACAAACAATTGAATATCACTCGTAGTCAGCTAACCAAGCCTAGTACCCATAACTGGTTATTGTTGTTGTTCAGCTTCATTTAGATGAACCGACAGGACCACCTCATTAATTACTCTTGCATCAATCAATCACTCGATCGATTGATTATTCCGCGTCGATTCTGTTCTTCATTCACAACTCTTCTTCTGTTTGTCCTCATGTATTAAAAATCTCTTTCTCCTTCTCTCTCTCTCTGTGTGCGTGCGTGCGTGCATATGTGTGACATCTGTCATCGCTTCAACATGTGATTCGTCATTTTTGTGACTAGATTTAATTGATTCCCGTCTGTTACCGCACACATGTGCACAAAGTCCCCTGTAATTGTATGTGTGTGTGTGTGTTCGTTGCGCGGAAAATGCCAGTTGCTCCCGGGTTGTTCAGCATGTACATAGTCAACGTTTGAATGCTCAGTGCCTGCAGCTATTCTCATTGTGATCTGAATCCAGTATGCGGTAGTTATTATTATTATTATTATTATTATTACCGGGAAGACAACTCTTCGAAATCTATAGGTTGATCAGTCGGTACTGCCACACGGTTTATGATGCTAACACAGTTGTACTTGTGATTATCCAGACCGGTAAAAAATAAAACAACACACAATTTCCTGTGGAGTCCTCCTCTGACTATTGTTCAGAATTGAATTGATCTGATTTGTCTCCAAACTCAACTCTAACCAAAGGAGGATAGGTTTTTATGCGCCTTGGTTACAACTGCTTCGTACTAGAAGGGACAATGTGGATACAGTTCGTCTACCACCATCTAGCTAATACACAAACCGTCACTGCAACATGAACGTACAGACTTTGACCTTAGGGTTTACGCCAGCTTTGCATTCATCAAGTATGTGAATAAAAGGGAATAGTGCAATGTCTACAAAACAAGACCACTTTGTTCTATTTTTCTTGTACAGAGACCATACTGTGTGCCAAACAAATCACGGTACAACGATCTTTTTAAAAAGAAAAAAACAAAGAATATTGCCAAACTACCCAGACCAAAGCATGTGTATATTGTTGGGTAATTCACAACTGGAGCCTTCGGTTAACCAAAACCAGACCTGCAAAGCAAAACAGTGGGGTGGTGTCTGAAAACCGTGTTCCATCGTCTGCCGGTGTCCATTTTATCGGATCATACGCCCTTCGAACGGGGTCCAACGGCCAAGGTGCTCAATACACCTCGATGTCCGGTTGAGCCGGTGACCACTGTCACGATCAGGAAGATGCGTGTGTGTGTATATATATATATGTGTGTGTGTGTGTGTGTGTGTGTGTGTGTGTGTGTGTGTGCGTCAGTGGTTCACCAACCCGATTATAGTCCCGGACATTGGCTTTTCGTCCTCTGACTTTGGTGGGAAACCACCTCCACCATGGGAAGGCAGTGAGTCGTCAGGGGCTATTTAAAACGCTTGGTCATACGTGAACGTTTCTCGAGGTTCAAGGAAATAGTGACCAGCCATAACCCAAGACACTCCGCCATAATGAGGCTTTCGGAGGCTCGTGTGTAGACTAGTCTTCGAATTGGCAATTGAGTGTCCTTGGACACACTCCACATCGGGGATGCTAGTGATAGATAATGTCCTACATCTATTCCCATCCAGTTACCTTGATAACTATTCTCCAATCAGCTATCCACTCGCGTTGTTTAAGATATGAACTAATCCATGGGATACTCCCGAGTTTTGATTTGATTCCAAATGACGCTCGTCATTCCGAGAAGTCTACAGACTGGTTAGTGCCCACTAGAGTCCGCAATTTTTCCGCTTCCGTGCATTTTCTTGTCGAACTATTTCTATCAATAGGGCTATCCTGTCAGCTTATCATTTGCCACATCCCCTTATGTTCTATCCCATACAATTTGTTATTTGATTGCATTCTGCAAATCATCAGTCAGCTTACTGTTTACTGGTTTGAAATGGTTAGAGATGGCTTATACCGGTGACAGCATCGATCCATGATCCATGATTCGGGGTAGGATAGGGAGGATACGAGCTGAACAATTTCACAAATTGTTTTTGAGCCCACTTGCGCTGGTGGGGTGATGTAGACCAATTCCAATCGCCTCCTCGGTGGCTTTGATGCGATTTTTTAGTCGACTGAAATCTGCGAACCTCAACACGGTAGGGGAGCCGAAATGCTTCATTCACACTCACTGTGTGA